AACTAGTACTTTATGTGCACACCTTTCAACTAGTACTTTATGTGCACACCTTTCAACTAGTACTTTATGTGCACACCTTTCAACTAGTACTTTATGTGCACACCTTTCAACTAGTACTTTATGTGCACACCTTTCAACTAGTACTTTATGTGCACACCTTTCAACTAGTACTTTATGTGCACACCTTTCCAAGTGTCAACAATTATAGAACTGTGGAGAAGCTGGAACTTTCTGACAAACAAATGTTCAAAGTAGCCTTCCAAAACCATACAATCGCTGAGAGCATATACACTGAACATAACTTATTGTTTAGTACCATATCAGACAAATACAACACATTATTAACTTTGAGTTTGACACCATTGCTCTGATAAGAATACAATTTTATCAACATTATTTTTTTCCAGTTGATGCTAGACCCAACACTGAATTGGATTGACGTGTATATAATAGCAAACTAGAATGGATATTATTACATAATGTATCAATGCGTCACCGCAAATAATATAACAAACCGAACTAAGAACAAATGGGTAGGCTGTTTGGCGATCTGCTGGGAACACAAACAATCATTTTATTAAACGTTGCAATGGCAATAGTAGGACAAGATATTTTAAAATTGTTTCCACCTAAATAGAATGCACAGAAGAGTTAAAATATACGAGTAGACAGAAAGACAGGCAAGAATAAAACAACCCTGAATAAAACAATTATTTTTAACAACGCAACACACTGGCTTACAGTGAATAATGCTAAATTAGTCATACATCCAAAAATGAAGGGTAAACTACTGTATGAGCAATGCTTATTGCACATATTTGAACCACCTGCATCTTCATTAGATAGTAACTTGCACCAATATCATCATACTATTGGTCTGACTGATAGTACTATGTTGTCTTTAATGTAATGAGTTCTAATATGTCACGCTTGGACACACATTGGTCATGTAGCACATTGCACACCTCATAAACCTGTGAGATGACGGGTAAGGTGATAACACATACCTGTGTCAGGCAACATTTCAATCCAAGTATCGGGAACGGTAGAAAAATCACCCTGGGTAAAGTGTTCATACAAAAGCGTGCCAGATCACAAATTGATTGCAAAAATACAATGTTCTTATGCGACTTTCGATAGTATCAACTAATTATAAACAATGTTTTTCCTTTTTTCGCTTATCCCAGCTGTCATTGCATGCAAGGTTATAGTGGTATATTATGTGACATTGATATCAATGAATGTTTATCAGCACCATGCAGTAGTACATCAACATGTTTGGATTTAGTTGGCTCATATCAATGCATTTGTCCACCAGCTTATTCAGGTGTCCACTGTGATATAGGTAAGATTAATGTTTATTACTTGTCAAGAACAATTTTATAATTTAATTTCATCTAATGTACAATAACAACTCAGTTATATACTCACATTGATAAATATGTTGTTTTTTTTAAATAATTTTTAGTATTTGATTTATTGAATTGCTATTTCTTGCAGAATTACACAGTAATTTCAGCATGTTATTTGAGTTTTCTGGCACAGTGGATTACGTTGAAATGAGAAATAGTCTGCCAGATATGGTGGAATTCACACTAGCATTTTGGTTGAGGACATCAGATAAACAGAACTATGGAACAGTTATATCATATGCTGTAGAAAACAATAATGATAACTTCAATACACTGGTGATTACAGACTATAGTGGGTAAGATATCTTTAATTATTATCAATTTTATTGCTGATAATTCAACAAGTAATATAAAAGTATTTTACGAGTTGTCAGTCTATTTCTTTGTCTATCTAGGTGTATTCCTGGTCTATAGGTGTATTCCTGGTCTATAGGTGTATTCCTGGTCTATAGCCAAATTTCGCGGCATATTTTATCACAATGAATTACAGAAGGTTATAGAAACTAGTATTGTTGAGTTTAAAATGTATCCAAAACCAATAAAGGTCTAGTGGATTGGATATTCCAATAGTTAGAACACCAAATCTCTGAGCTAGGTGAAACAAGGTGTACTTTGACAGTATATTTACCAAATTTTTGTATTTCCAAATGTTACCGACACTGTGGTTCAAAGTGTTAATCATGTGAACTAAATCTTTGTTTTAAGCTTTGTTCTGTATGTAAATGGTGAGAGTATAGTGACTGATGTGACAGCCAATGACGATATATGGCATCATATAGCTGTGACCTGGTCATCAATACAAGGTGTATGGCACATATATAAAGATGGTAGTTTAGCAGCCACTGGCGATGCTCTTTCTCCTAATTATATTTTACCAGGTAATAATTGAACTGTACGTCTGATTTATGATGGTTCTGATGTTCTCTAGAATATGAATATAAATTACAGGCATATTACGAACAAATGGATATTCGAACTAACTACATCAATACTGTTGATGTCTTTATTTATGAATGATATTACAAAGCATGACATCATTCTATTAAATAGTACTGTAATAAGGTAATTTGATTTGAATGATATGTTTATTGTGACAGTGGGATGGAATATTTTTTTGAAAACAACCCTAACCAAAATAAAAAATAATTTTGTATTACACCATATGTTTCATAAGTAGAATGTATTTAATTTATTATTTTTTCATGCATATTATGGCATCATACTGGGTAGGTAGGTCATTAAATAAGTTATCTATCTGTCCAAAGGTGGTGGTATACTAGTTCTTGGACAGGAGCAGGATACTTATGGTGGCAGTTTTAGCGCACCAGAGTCATTCGTTGGACAGCTATCAGTTCTCAATATCTGGGATAGAGTATTCACAAAAGAAGAAATTGACAACATAGTTTTGAGTTGTCAGGATTACCATGGTAATATCAAAGCGTGGCCTGACTTTTTGCAAGGAATCCAGGGAAGAGTCCGTACCATTGATTCGAAAGATGTTTGTCATGGTAGGTTTTCACGTTAATTACATATCGACACATCATTCTTAATACTTGTTTGATTCACTGAATATACTTAAATTCACCTGGTGCATTAATAGTAGTGAATAATTGTGATGCTTTGAATTAAAAAAATTGTTGTAATTACATCATAATTGTCTCATCTTGATCAATGATTATTTTATATATTGTATTGTTTTCACATTGCTGATGACCTTTTCACAGGTTGTCCTTATCCAGATCCTCCTAGGAATGGATCAATACGTGGATTATCGTCATCATTAGCAGCTCCTGCAGCTGAAATACGATTTAGTTGTGATCCTGGTTTTGATCTTGTTGGGTATCATATAAGTAGATGTCACATACACAACAACTGGATACCAGAACCACCTAATTGTAAAAGTGAGTTACTATTCCACAGTGCCAGTCACCATAATACACACTGCAAATGTTGCCATGTTATGACATGTATGTTTAAAACATACATCTAGTTCAGTATTGCCATAATTAAAATTTTGCCAAACCATTTTTATGGAAATTTATTTCTATCAAATGTTGACTGTTAGATGTTGTATTAGATCTGTAATATTTTCTTTACCTGTATAATTATTCTGTGCTGATATGCTTTGGTGACAGGTGATTTATGAGGTTGAAATATAGTAGACCATTTTAGACCGTGCGTCTGTGATGCAAATGGTGACATTATTATTGAACAAGGCAAATTTCCTCTTGAGATACTTTAGACAATCCAAATACTAGGTGCATTTTGAAAGTGTTCCAAAAACACTATTACAATGTTACCCATTGAGATTTGAGATTAAATCATTAATGGGTGGATGGACACAAACTAATGATGAACAAACCTTTATATGGTTAGTAATAGTGAGCATAAAATTCCCAACAGTGCATTAATATCTCTAAACTATCTCCGCGAAAAATACTGGCTAAATGTACTTAATCTCAATGTCCCCCCTATGGAATAATATAACATGAATTGTATAAAGGTTTCTAAATAATAGTGCAGTAATATTAAGCAAATTAAAATACTGACTTGAAATACTCTTGCTTTCCTTTACAGTACAAAAATGTAGTTTTCCAAGTGACATCATAAATGGTAAAAAAAATATGACTTCTCATTCCTATGGTGGGGTAGTTAAGTGGTTCTGTAAGCATGGTTATACATTGGTTGGAAATGCAGAGATAACATGTAAAGAAAATGGCATATGGAGTGGGTCAAAACCAACATGTCAGAGTAAGTTCTTTTTATGTGTCTTGTAATATACAAGTCCAGCATTTTTACCTAAACATAATTACCTAAAACGTACATAATTAAAGCTTGGTAAAATGCGCAACAGTCAATGTCGCCATCTTTTTTATTTGAGCCCCATACTTTGCAAATGACGACCACCATCCTTTAAATGACATCAAACTAAGTATATGTATATACTTACTGTTTTTGTGTTGAATATCCAACACTTATTTGCAATTAATCTGCAACCATTACCTGCAATATCTGCGATTAGTAAATTTGCATTCTAATTAACTACTTTCTTGTTGAAATCATACCAGTTTACCAGTTGTTACTTTATATTTTCCACTTATAGTTATACAATGTGATGATCTGCCCCAGGTATGGCATGGAACAGTAACAGAAATCAGCAGAACAATATTAACTTCTGGAAGTATAGTGACATTTGGATGTGACCCAGGATATACACTTATAGGAGACAGTGCAGTCAGGTGTGAACAAAATGGAAACTGGAGTGCAGTGCCTAAATGTGTACCTCGGAAATGTGAAAGTCCATCTTCTATTGATAATGGAAAAATAACTTCAACTGGATCAACCTATGGTGATACTATGAAGTACAGTTGTGACAAGGGACATTATCTTATCGGAGAAGACAGCAGGAAATGTGACATTAATGGAAAGTGGAGTGGTAATGAGCCTGTCTGCCAAGTGGTGACATGTAAACACCCTACAAAACCTGATCATGGAGATGTTTCTGTTAATGACCATACATATGGGAGTATTGCTGAGTTTTGGTGTGAAGCAGGATATGTACTGAAAGGAAACAAAACAGCTAAATGTTTCGATTCTGGTGACTGGGTTTCTGCACCAACATGTGAGCCAGTGGAATGTGGTCTGCCAGAGAATCCCCTCCATGGCACAAGAAACGTGACCGGGGTTGTCTTCAGAGATACTGTTACATATGATTGCGATTATGGATACAACTTGAGTGGGGTTAAGATTCGTACATGTCTGGAATCCAGTTTATGGAGTGGAATCGCTGCAGAGTGCATCCCTGTGTCATGTGGCAAACCAAAAGATGTTGATGATGCTAAACACATTGGTTCTAACCATTATTATGGTGGTTCAGTGATATATAAATGTAGAGAAGGTTATTTGATGACAGGACATGATAATACAACCTGCCAGGCAAATGGAGAGTGGAGTGAGCCACCAAGATGCAATCCTGTAAAATGTGGTTTTCCAAAACAGATTAAACATGGAAAGTTGACTGTGACAGGCATAGAACTACGACAGGTTGTAATGTATAATTGTGAGGTAGGTTATCAGATACAAGGTACTTCAAGACGCATTTGTCAACCTTCGGGTAACTGGAGTAATCGTGATCCCAGTTGTGAACCTGTTGAGTGTGGTCCACCACCTCATGTTCCAAATGCCAACAATGTAGGTAATAATTACACTTACAATCAACAAGTTGTGTATTCATGTAAAGTTGGTCATGAAATGGCTGGTGCAGCTATATCAACATGTACAGCAAACCGAGAGTGGACAACTCCACCTGAGTGCCGTCCAATCAACTGCAACCTACCACCTGATGTTGAACATGCTTCTTCCGTTGGTCATTATACAACCTTTGGTAGCACTGTCAATTACACTTGTGACAATGGGTATTTAAGCAAACATAACTTGGCAATTACATGTTTGGCTGACAGAAACTGGACCCCTGCACCCATATGTCAGCCTGTAAATTGTGGTACTCCTTGGTATGTCGACCATGCTGTGATAAATGGCTCACAGTTTACTTACTCTAAATCAGTCACATATAGTTGTGAATTAGGATATATATTAAAGGGTGATGCAGAGCATTTATGCCGTGCAGACGCCACATGGAGTGGAAGTTCTCCAGTCTGTGAAATTATTAACTGTGGAACACCAGATGTTGTGCATCATGCTGAATATACTGGAACTAACTTTAGTTATGGTTCCATCTTGGAATTTAACTGTCTATCTGGATATACAATACATGGGAATGAGACTGTTATATGTCGTGAAGATGGCAAATGGACACAGGTTCCACACTGTGAACCAGTAAACTGTGGAGCACCTCAATCAGTGCCAAATAGCTTGATTGAAGTTAGCGGAAACACCTTTGGTGATTCTGTGAAATATGATTGCAATGTGGGATACAAGTTGTATGGAATTCACGAAATAACATGTCTTGCTGATGCACAGTGGAGTGATAATGTCCCTGTATGCCAGATTATATCATGTGGCACACCATATAATGTCACACATGCAACATATACTTCAACTGGAGATGTTTATAACAGTGTCACTGAGTATGCCTGTGATGAGGGGTATGATATGATTGGCGAAGACACTATAACATGTTTACATAATGAGGAATGGGCAGCAGCACCAATATGTGTTCCTGTGGATTGTGGCACTCCTCACAAAATACACCGTGGTTCCATTATATTTAGTGGTCAGGTATTTGGAGACACAGTAGAATACAGTTGTGATAAAGGTTACAAAATAATTGGCAATAAACAAAGAAACTGTCTTTCAACTGGTAGCTGGAGCAGTCAAGAACCAGAATGTAAACTAATATCATGTGGTGAGCCACTGAAATTAGATCACGGCCGTTACACAGCAAGGGCACATGTGTATGGCAGCAAAGTTGAATATTCCTGTCACAGTGGTTATGAACTAGCTGGAAGCGCTACAGTTGAATGTCTCGCTACTGGTCAGTGGAGCCAACTTCCAATCTGTCTGCCAGTTTCATGTTTTGTACCAGAGACTATCCCACATAGTATTATTACAGCAACGACTTACACTCATGGCAGTATTGTCAGTTACGAGTGTGAAACTGGTTATCAGTTGAGAGGTAATCATCAGAGAACATGCCAAGCTGATGCCAGTTGGAGTGGAAAACCCCCAACTTGTGATATAATTCAATGTGGTCCTCCAGTTGATGTGAATTACGCTGTAGTTAATGGGGAGAATTATGTGTATGAGAGCATAGTGGAGTTTATATGTGAGCCTGGCTATAAGATGATAGGCAATAGTAATGTGATATGTCAGGAAACTGGTAAATGGACAATACCTCCTGTGTGTTCCCCAGTTAGCTGTGGTCCCCCAACAAGTGTGTCCCATGGCAGTGTTCTAGGTGAGGGTTACACATATAAGCAAACTGTACAATATCAATGTGATGTAGGGTACATATTAATTGGTGAACATGAAAGAACTTGTCAAAATGATGGTTCATGGGGTGGGGAATCTCCTGTCTGCCAGATTATTTCATGTGGCCCACCTAAAGTTGTTGATAAGGCTACACAAACTGGTGATAGATATACCTTTGGAAATGCGGTAAATTACAAATGTGACGTAGGATATAGACTGCAAGGAAACAAAACAATAATATGCCTAGCAGATTCAAAGTGGACTGCCGGTCCCATGTGTAATCCAGTAGATTGTGGAAGGCCAGATGAAATTGATAATGGTGTGGCAACTGTACATGGTACAACTTTCAAAGAACGTACAACATACACATGTAATTTGGGATATCTTCTGGAAGGCGACAGTCACAGAGACTGTTTAGAGGATGGCAGCTGGAGTGGTGAAGCACCAGAATGTCGAATAGTAACATGTGGAACAGCTGTTGATCTGCACCATGCTTCACATAATGGAAGTGGTATTCATCAGTATGACGATGCAGTACACTATAGGTGTCATGTAGGATATGAGAAGCAAGGATACCATATCGTAAAGTGTACAGATACTGGAGAGTGGACAGATCAACCAACTTGTCAGCCAGTTTCTTGTGATAGACTGGATAGACTAGCGAATGGTAGGATTCAGACCAGTGGACACACCTACCAACACAATGCAACATACAACTGTGATAAAGGATACCACTTGCTGGGGAATTCTGTACGAACATGTTTGGCTAATAAAACATGGAGTGGAGTGTCTCCAAGTTGTGATCTCATCAGTTGTGGAACACAGCCAGAGATTCAGCATGCAAGATCTGATAACAGCAGTGAGCATACATATGGAGCAGTTGTTGAATTTAGTTGTAATTCTGGATATGTCTTAAGTGGTAACAGCACAATAATATGCAAAGAAAATGGTCAGTGGACACATCCACCAGTATGCACACCTATAACTTGCCAGCAGCCAGATGCTGTGGAAAATGCTATTGTTAGTTCAAATGGACATTCATACAAACATAAGATTTCATACCGCTGTGACATTGGCCATCAACTCATTGGTGACAGTGAGCGTGAATGCTTAGCTGATGGTAGCTGGAGTGGAGAAGCTCCACTCTGTCAGATTATGTCATGTGGACTACCTCATGAAGTAAGCCACGCAGATTACATTGGAGGTACCTTTACTTATGGCAGTTCAGTGAGATATTCATGTCATAGTGGGTATGACCTAAAAGGCTATAAGGTTATAAGGTGTTTGATGAATGGTGTTTGGACCCCAGGACCTGTTTGCACACCAGTATTATGCAAAGACTTGGAACAGGTTGATAATGCCATTGCAACTTTTACTGGTCAAACCTTTGGACACAGAGTTATCTATGCCTGTTATACAGGGTTTCAACTCAATGGTGATAGTGAGAGAGTATGCCAAGCCAATGGAGAATGGGATGGTGAGTCACCAGTCTGTGAAGTTGTAAGGTGTAGCCGACCCCCCAATGTCAGATTTGGTCTGAGCAGAGGAAATTATAATGATGAATATGATAGCTTTGTTCGTTACATTTGTAAACCTGGATATAGAATAACTGGAACACAAACTGTAAGGTGTGAAGCATCTGGTAAATGGAGCACTCCTCCTAGTTGTGTCCCTGTGAAATGTACTCAGTTGACTAATATACCACATGGCACTGCAACCACTCTGAGAAACACCTATGGTGGAAGTGTTCTCTATGACTGTGAACAAGGATATACATTAATAGGCAGTAAGGAAAGAATTTGTGAAGCAAGTGCTACTTGGAGTGAAAGCCAACCAACTTGTAGGATTGTGTCATGTGGTCTTCCGACGGATGTTCCCTATGCTTCACACTCAAGTAGTGATTACACGTTTAAAAGTACTGTGTCATACATCTGTGATCCCGGTTACGAAATGGTGGGAGATGCCACATCAGAGTGTCAAGCCAGTGGTAGCTGGACAGCAGCTCCGGTTTGTATACCAGTCAGTTGTGGCCAACCTGCAGGCATCCAGCATGCATCAATAATTGGTGATGATTTTAGTTATGGGGATACAGTTAAAGTGGAATGTCATTCAGGTTTTTACATACAAGGAGAACAGTTGTTGAGGTGTCAGACAAACAGAAAATGGTCAGCACGACCTGAGTGTATCATTGTGACATGTGGTGAACCAACACCTATCCTCCATGCTACAGTAGTAGCCCATGAATTAAATTATGGCAACAAAGCTGAGTATAAATGCTTTACTGGATATGAACTACGCGGCAATAACATGGTGGTATGTCAATCAACCTCAGAATGGACAGCTCCTCCTGCATGTGAACCTGTGTCATGTGGGCCTCCACCATCATTGGACCACGCTACAACAACCAGCACTGGACACAGATTCACAGATGTTATCACATACCACTGTGATATAGGGTATAGACTGGAAGGACAGGTGGAGAGAGAATGCAATGCCTATGGCCACTGGAGCGGAGAGTCTCCGCAATGTTTATTGATTTCATGTGGAGCTCCTGAAAAAGTTAGTAATTCAGTGCAGATTAATACTGCCTATACATATAATAGCATAGTTACATACAATTGCAAACCAGGGTACGAGTTAATAGGAACAAGAGAGATTGTCTGTACAGTTAATAGTGAGTGGACTCCAGAACCTCCAGAGTGTAGAATTGTAAAATGCCCAACCCCAAAGCCCATTGTGAATGGTCAGATTCATGGAACTGAATACACATTTAGTCATGTGGTGACTTATACCTGCAAGTCTGGATACAGACTGGTGGGTATTGGAAGCCAGACATGTTTGATGAACAAAACGTGGAGTTACACTCAACCAAAATGTGAAGGCATCAGTTGTAAACCACCAGACACTATTGCCCATGGACAGGTTGTGGGTGATACATTTGACTTTGATAGTACTGTGCAGTATGTTTGTAATGCTGGTTATGAACTGGTTGGTACAGGCATTAGAAAATGTACAGCAGATTCATCTTGGAGTGAAGTAGCACCATTGTGTATACCTGTGGTATGTGGCACACCACCACATGTTGACCATGGCAGATACTCTCTACAACATGGCGATGACTTCACCTATAAAAGTAGGGTGCAATACAGATGTGATATTGGTTATACGGAAGATATCGATGGACTGCTAGAATGTGGTGAAGACAGTAGATGGTATGGACGGGTACCAATCTGTCACAGGATCTCTTGTGGTGAGCCTCAGCAACCTGAGAATGGTTTCATCAAATCTGGCAACTTTCTTTACCAAGACACTGTACAATATACCTGTCTTCCAGGATTTAATTTAGTAGGACAGAACACACGTGACTGCCTGTCAAGCAAGCAATGGACTGGTCATGTGCCACTATGTGAACCAATATCTTGTGGTCCGCCTCCTGTTGTGAGATTTTCCAAGGCACATGGTGTTCAGTACACCTTCAACAGCACTGTCTTGTACACCTGTCACAGGGGTTACAGCACTGTTGGTGAGAGTGAAGTGAGGTGTTTAGACAGTGGTAGCTGGTCTGATGATGTACCTACATGTGTTCCTGTGTCATGCGGTGTGCCCCCAAGACTAAGGAATGGTAATTACCATGGAATGGAATATACATTTGGTAATTCCTTACATTACTACTGTCATCCTGGCTATACCATTCAAGGTGAGCTCATCATATTCTTGTGGTCATATTCTAATACATTCTGTTTGTTACTCACAAATGTGTAGGTTCATTCAAAAGGAACAGTGTGTCACGTCACTTTACTCATGTCACTGTACATAAACAATCCCCATGCACAGATGACAGGAATTCACATTTCAGATTCACTACAGAATTCTACTTTTAAGCAAAACAAAAGTAATCAATAAAAGCACAACAATACAATAATGCATGAGACACCCTTAGGACTTCTCCAAACAATGAGTGTTGATAATGAGTGCTTTTAATACATGTCATGATAACATTTCTCCAATCTGCAGGTAGTCCATTACAACACTGTGCAGCTAATGGTCAATGGAATGGTACTACACCACAGTGCGTACCTGTGCAATGCAGTGCTCCAAATTCCATCAAATACGGAACAATTATTGGTACTATATGGGCTTTAGGTAACACAATACACTATGGCTGTCACACTGGGTACCAGCTACTTGGTAATAGTAGCCGAACATGTCAAGCGAGTGGAGAGTGGAGTGGACAGACACCAACATGTCAACCAATATCATGTGGCAATCCACCAGTATTGGAACACAGCTTTATATCAGGTAGGCTGGAAATGCATAGTATAGGAACAAGTTCATACTGCATGAACCTCCAAGCACACAAACCCTCGTTCACTTTCACAATTCAATTTTAAAGTGCCTCAGAAATGTATGATGTTTGCTTTGCCAAAACTAATTATTTCTTTTGAGAAATTATGAATGAATTTTGTTTTTGTCAAAAAACAACAAATTTTCAGTGTAAAACTATTGATATGTAATTATCAGAGAGCCGATAAAGTCAAGAGCTACGAGTTAGGGGGTGTGGTTCAAACGCAAAATAAACTACATTTTTTTCCGCTTGATACTTGCATAAACCAAGCAAGATCCATCTAAACATGAAAGCTTGTGTATCACAGTCACTTTAACAATTCTTTACAATGATGGTAACCTCGATCTTCATCTTTTTTTATTTCTGAACTAAACAAATAAGGTTTTAAAAGGAATTTATGCTTGGATTCCAAGTTTCAGTCAACAGTTTGCCATACATTGAACTCTAACCTGTGATCTGATACTGTAGGTGGTAATTACAACTATGGAGACTATGTGGTGTATGTGTGTCAAGATGGATACATATTACATGGAAACAGTGTGCGTCAGTGTCAAGAAGATGCTCGCTGGAGTGGTGGGAATGTGACATGTGATCCAGTCTACTGTAGTGAAATAAGCTCACCAGTGCATGGCAATGTAATTGCATATGATTACAGCTTTGGTAGTAAATCTTACTATTCATGTAATGACGGGTTTACTCTGAGAGGAGCTTCATATAGAACGTGTTTAGCAAGTGGCGACTGGAGTGGACAGGTACCAAGATGTGAGCCTGTGTCATGTGGACCAGCACCCGCAGTATCAAATGCAGTGACGTTAACATCTGCCAATAGAGTAGCTTACAAAAACCAGCAATTTGTTTTCGGTAATTCAGTTTGGTTTGACTGTCAAATAGGATACAGACTTGAAGGGAAAGTTGTGGTAGTTTGCAATGCTGATGGCAATTGGTCTGAACCTCCAACATGTCAGCCTCTTCAATGCAGTGCACTGGCTAGTATCGATCATGGATATGTTACTTCACCTGGTTATACTGTCAACACCACTGCAATGTATGGTTGTTATGATGGTTATGAACTACATGGAAGTAGCACTACAGTCTGTCTAACTGATCAAACATGGAGTCACCCCCAACCTGTTTGTCAACCGATTTCATGCGGACAGCCCACAAAATTGAGCAACTCTGTGTTGCAAAGTTTGGATTCAGAAACAAGTTACAGAAGTATTATCAATTACAAGTGTAAAGTTGGATACAGACTGATTGGTAATGGAACATCAATATGTCAACATGATAAAAGGTGGAGTCCTACCACAGCTGTTTGTTCACCTGTAGACTGTGGCGCATCTCCTGATGTAGCTAATGCGGTTAAAACTGGTTCTGGACATTATTATGGTGACACAGTCACATATAATTGTGGTCACAGTTATCAGTTGGAGGGACCTTCTGCGATACACTGTGGAGATGATGGGCAATGGCAAGGAACACCAATATGTGTTGGTAGGTTATACCACTATATGAATATCAATCCTTATAACAATAACCAAATAATGGTCAAATGATCTGTAATTAGACAACAGATTGTTTTTATCAAAAATGAATATTTAAAAAAAAATATTGGAATATTAATCTAAAGAGTCAATATTTTTTTTATTTAAAACTGTACTGATCAAAGTTCTGTTGGATTTGGGATTCCATTTCAGAGTTATATTATTGGATTGAGCTGTATCAGTTCTCTCTATATCTCCTTCTCCTTGTATCTTTTGACCTTTCAAGGGTTTGTCGACAATTGACTTTCTAAGGCAAAATTACAGTATTTAAATAATAGTAAATCACTTACTGATAAATATCTGTTTTTATATATTTTCAGAAGTGAGTTTTGAGAGCATAGAGCAGGCCATATGTATATTTCCTTGTTTACATGGAGGTACATGTATAGCACCATATCAGTGTAAATGTCCTCCTGGGTTCACTGGTACAAGATGTGAAATTGGTAAGTGCAGTTATGTTTGGTGTGTAATTAGTAAGTCTAGTTGTGTTTGGTATGTAATTGGTAAGTGCAGTTATGTTTGGGGTGTAATTGGTAAGCCCAGTTATGTTTGGGGTGTAATTGGCAAGTGCAGTTATGTTGGGGTGTAATTGGTAAGTGCAGTTATGTTTGGGGTGTAATTAGTAAGTGCAGTTATGTTGGG